TGGTTTAGATCTGATCATTGGATCATGAAGAAATTAGCGATACTCTTCTACATCGGAAAGGTAGTGTCTCAGAGGTGGTCCCATACTAATGTGGTTAAGATCCGATCAGCGGATCATGAGATATATATATATATATTTTTTTTTATATGGGAGTTGAAGTCGGTTTTTTTTTTTTGCTAAAAATTACTAGTCATATGTGTTTTTCGCTCTTTTTCACAGAGGCCGCCTTGGGCGTCAAACTGGATGAGCAACTGGATGACCAGCAATATCGTGCGAGTTTCAAAATGATCGAAGAAGCATTCATCGCACGAATCAGAAATCCATTCTATATGATCGATACCATATATAACGTATTCATGGCGCCGAAAATGGAAAAACATTTGAAAACTGTACATGGATTCTCCAGCAATATTATTCATAAGCGGCGTCAGCTATTTGCGGCAGAGTTGGAACATAATGCGACAAAGGAAGCAAATGAAATGGAGTAAGATTTCAACCGGTTTTTAAGTTAATACTAGAAAAAAAGGCTCGCCAATGAGTCCAAAGTATTTTTGCAATGACATTTTTTTAAATAAAAAAAATTTTTGGTTGGGTTGCCTTTTTTACATTTTTCCTGGCACGAGTAGATAATTTTTCGTTCCTCAGTTCATTGACCTCAAGTACCCCGTTATAGTACTTGCCCACCAGCCTAACGTACCCCCTAACGCACCACCCTAATGGAAGTATTTTCATTATTCCAGTAGAACTACTTACACTTTTTTTTAGCCGAATGTAGGTGTCACCGAAAAATGTAAAAAGGAAACCACTAGGTTCTGCGAGGCATTCGGTGAACTTTTTTTCGCTTTTAAGGTGGTACGGTCTAGTGTACATTACGGTGTATGGGTAAAAAAAAAATCACTTTTTTCCGAGCGATTTTGAACACTGCCTAAGAGAGTATTTCAGGAGTGTAGGAGAGTAAGCATTTTTTCGGCACCTTGTAAAAATACCTACATAAATAGGGTTTTCTATAACATTCTAATTTCATGTCTTATTTTTGTTGTGATACATATCAATACCAATTATTTGTGCTCTTATTCCATTCAGCAATAGTTTTGGCAAAAAGAAACGCTACGCCATGTTGGATACACTCTTGCACGCCGAGCGCAATGGACTAATCGATCATGCAGGCATCTGTGAGGAGGTGGACACATTTATGTTTGAGGGATTCGACACCACATCGATGGCGCTAATATTTACACTAATGAATCTATCGCTGTTTCCAGAAATGCAGGAGCAATGCTATCAAGAAATACTCGAATATGTCGATGGCAAGTATAGATTGATGTAAATTTTACATTTTCAATAGGAGATATCGCTGAATCCCTCGTTAATGGATTTTTCGTGAAATCTACGAAAAGTCTATTCCACGAAAGCCGCACTAGTCGAATAATTATTTTGTTTTTCCAATCCAATTTATTTTCTCCAACAGCTGATCTTAGTAATTTAGACGTCAATCAATTGGGTAAACTCAAGTACCTGGAGTGTTTCGTGAAGGAGACTCTACGCCTGTATCCCTCCGTGCCTGGTATAATGCGAAAGGCGGTACGCGACACATATCTCGCCAATAATGTTTTTCTACCCGCGGACACACAAATCTCCATACATATTTTCGATATACATCGCAA